CTGCTGTCAGAAATCCTACATCCATAAATCTAGCCACAGAATCTAAAACATTCACTACTGCCCTTAAAAGAAAGAAATTCGGGACATAGATCGTTCGAAAATATTAACCAAAGAGGTTTTCACTAAAAAAATTCGACATATTCTTCTCCAATTTTGAAATGGCAGATTTTTCATTGCTTATGTCAAAATGGTGTCGGAAATCATATGCCATTTTTCTTTGGATTTGATGGGGGTTTGTTTTCCCTTTGTTATATCGTGCTCGTTTCGAAAAACTATAAGTTATTAAAATTATAAATTGATAGAAATAAGTGGTGGATAAGTGCGTAGTAGTTATTTTTCCTACAAAATGTATAGTTAAAATTAAAATTTAATTTTGAATTAAAGAATATGTAATATAAATCCGATTTTATCACGTTTCCGATTCCAAAAATCAAATTTTACATGCAAAAATTTGTTGGGGTTGACTCATAATTCTATTAAAGTTGGGGAATGAAGAATTGATTTAGAGTTATCTAACCCAGTAATAAATCTAAAATTATAGTCCAAGATTGAATGAGATTCATTGCAATTATATGACTCTGACATGAAACTCCGCTATATATGGGGGCAGGGAGCAGTTGTTGAATTGGGAGAGAAAAATGTTTTTAGCGAGAGAAAAGCTAGAAATTAGACAAATTGGCATGCATATGTGCGTACGTTGAATATTTTAGTTTTTGCAGGGAGAATTGAGAGTATGAGGAAAGTGTTGTATGGTAAGATTTCTCAGTTAATTGATACTTCTTCACTAGCGTTATTCGATGGTTTGTCGAATCATGTTAAATTTTTATTTCTCTTTTTGTCTTGTTTTTTTATTTTTCATTATCTCTACATGTTTGGTAGATTCTTTTTTCAAACAAGTGATATTAGAGCTCACGGTTCGAACCACACTGTTACTACTGCCCTTTGGGCACACCTCCTATGTTTACCACTCATCTACGAGAGATGCAAATGTTCAAATATACAGTTGCTACAAAGATGACAAGTTCTACATTTGAGGTGGAGCATTTTTAAAGATGTTTTCTTTAAATAAGTGATTTATAAGATGCTGTAGGGTATGTGGACATAAAGGAGGAAAGATATAGGGGGGAAGAATTTGAAAGGAAGAATACCATCGTGTTGGCTCTTGCATTTGAGATAAAGTATATCATTTGGAACGAGAAATTTCCTTCTAGGTTATATAAAAACGCTGAAAGAGTTGTATATGTCTAAATCCATAATAGGTTATATTTGACTAAGTAATTGTATGAATTGATGATGGATGATGATTCTGATGCTAGGTATCACTTGAATTAAGTTTTAACGAATGCACGTGACGCATAGCAGAATAGTGATTATTTTGTAAGCTAGTTCTACCAGCAAATTCACAGGAAAGAATACAAGGTTAACACCGAGAACACAGAGAAAACGTTTCTGAAGTTTGAAAAATTTTATTATATCACGCAATGATCAAAATAAGTTCACAAACCGGACTTTATAGCAAAAATCCGAATTTTACTAATGATGGCAAAATTCCAAAAATCACGCCAAATAAAAATATGGAATAAAATAAATAGTATGAAAAAAAATCTACCCCAAATCGGATTAAAAATCATTTCCTAACATGCAATCGAAATATTACCAAAAATAACAAAAANAAATATCATTTCCTAACAAGCAATCGAAAAATTACCTAAAATAACAAAAATTAACTAAAAATAACAATTTGGAAGGGAATTCAGCAGAATTTGAGGTTGAAAATGGCACTAACCGAGCAAAGCTGGGTGGCCATGACATGCGTGTCGAAACAAGCTTTCCGCATTGTGGTCGTAATCACGATTCCGATAACCATAGTCAAAGTTATGGCCAAATTATCGAAACACGACTCAATTACCAAAGTTACGCGATCACTTGCCATCTTTAGGCCGATCTGCTAACTCGTGATACTTTAGAGTCATTAACATGTTATCTAACAACTCAACATTTGACTTGGACCCTCCTGTATCAGCATGACTAAGCTTCTCAATGCGGATGTTATGATTAGATAAGTCGATGAGTTTATTGTCTTCCTTACCTAAGTCTTATGAGATGTTAGTGACCATGCTATTAGTTCAAAATTTTAATAGTGAATGGTGTTTGGACTTATTTGTTAGATACAACAAATGTTATGTGGTACACTAAATGATGATCAAGTTCTCTTGGTGAAATTAGAGACCAAGTGTGGTAAAGGTGAAACGATGTAAGCAATAGTTAGAGGGATCGTTTTCGTTGTTGTCAATCTGAACTCCATGTCGGATCAGTTGAGGAACCGCTTTGACCTGGTCAAAAGAGTTTTTAAATCGAAAAAGGCAGATAAGTCAACACAAAACCTCAACCTAAGACCCCATCAATACAAGTCGAACTCGAACCACGGGAGGTGTTACATGGAAACAACATCATGAAATGACAAAGGAAATGCTCCACCTTCATAATTGAACAATCAGGATAATAACGTGACGACATAGGGTACAAGCCTAAGGCTTAGATGTAATCATGACTCCACCGCAATCGAACTCTACAACCAATTAAATCTCTTTAAACGAACGGTGTTACACAATTTTAGGCTAGAACACATTAGCTTGATGATAATTTCATATTATGCACTTATTTTTGACTTCTTTACTTACTTATTTGTGATTATTTAAGCGGATGTCTACCTAATATATGTGTAACTATGTTAATTATAGGTAAATCCCCAATTTGGACGCAATTGGCATGAAAAAGGTCAAATTGGAGCCTAATTTTGGTGACTCGAAGCAAATGATAATCAACTAGGTTGTAATTGATCAAAAAGAAGACTTATGGGAGCAATCGAAAGTGATTCACAAGTTTCGTGAGCTAATTCCAACCTTTGAAAAGTTTAGGGACTTAATTGCACACTCTTGGAACTTACATCAGATCGATTTGAATAATTGAGGAATGTTTCAAATCAATTTAAAATGAATTGAAGTTAAAGGACCAAGATTGAAAGAAGAAAGGGTGCAGAATGAACAACACACGAAATACGGGGACCAAATTGTAACAAAGAAAAAGTAGTGGCTGCGATTGCAAATACCCAAGGGTTGCGATCACAGTCAATGTCCCTTTGATTGCAATAGTGGAATTTGAATGGAAAGAAAATGAATTCTAGATAATTGAATTGCCTAGAATTGTTTTCCCGAGAATTGTCAATTAATTGTGTTTGATTAGTATAATTTTCCACATGGAAAATTTTGAAATTTTGACATTCATTTGACTTTATTTTACATGAAAATTGTCCATTAAAAAGATATAATTTGTTACAATTGGGGATATAATTTGTTTCCATTGCTAAAAAAATGTAGAAAACCATTTTCCCACCAAAGTGGTAAGAAACCCAATTCAATGAGAACCAAGAAAAGGGGGTCATGTGGGGTGGGTGGGGTGGGGAGGGGTAGGGTGGGGGGAAAAACCATTTGTCAAGAAAATTTTGCCTATGAAACAAGCAAAAAGTTGGAACTTGGGAAAATAGTGCATATCAAACAGGGCCTTAATGTTTTTTTGCTGGAGCAGCCACCAGATCTTTTGTATGTTACGATCACAGTCCCTACACATGATTTGATATTTTGATACTAAGTATATAATTTTGACATTAAAAAATTATTTGATTTTAAATGTTTTTTATACTCTTAATCCTTACAATATTGACAACTAAATGAACTGGTGTATAATTCCTATTGATGATTGGAAGAAGGAATATGGAAGATAGCATGTGATAACATTCATTGTAAGGTTAAATAGATGTTAGGGAAAATGTCTAACAATTGTATGATCCAATTGATATTTTTATGCTTTTAAAGCATTGCTTCGCATATGAATTTGGGATAGAAATATTACCGTGCCGCGCTCAGGAATAGGTAAGATTGATCTTGGGAGGGACTATTAAACATGATAGGAACATTGATCTTCATATCAATTAATTGTTTCAAATTTTGAAATTAATATTAAGGTGGATGAATGTAGGAGCATACAAGATCCTAGTGATTTATTAACTAATCAAATAATCATAAACGCTTCCTACCACATAGATTAATTAAATCAATTATAAATTTAGGTTGTTAATATCAAAACACCTCACCTAATTAATTGTGATTTTACATTGACTTAGAATTGGAGTAAATTGAGAATTACAATAAATACTTATTCCTCGTGGGATCGACTCATGTCCACTTCACTAGTTCATGATTCGTACACTCAACAAGAAGTTTTTTCCAATTTTCAGTTCTAGACCTATGTAATCTAATGTGCTTTGTGTATCTTTACAATGGATAATTCAATTTTATTTAGATATCTCTCATAATGTAAGTTAAACATATTGTAAACACGATTTGAGCATATTCATATTCCAAATTTATATGCAAAGTAACTCATTTATTACACTATTATCTATGTGATGGATAAATCATACATGTTGTTCCCAACATTTATTATCCATGTGTTTAACCTTAAATTTTTTTAAACCTATTATGATTTTAAGACTATTACCATTTGAAAACACACACACAATCAATAATTTGGAATATTTTATTTAATAGTGGACATCGCCTTAGAAATATTTATACACTTTGTTGAGTGGAGAATGAAGAAGGCAAAAGGAGGACACTCCACGCCTCTTTTATTGACAAAAAAAAAAACAAAAGCAATCACTACTTTGACTTCAATTTTCTTATTCATATTATATATTTTTTAAGTTATCTAGAAGATCTTGCTTGGAAGACTTTTGTCCACACATCTTAGATAATTGTACCAAAAACCGATCGTCTATAATTATAAAAATAAAAAGTTTATTTTGTTTCACAATTAAAATTATTAACGCAGGAGAAGAATCTAAAAGGTTAAAAATATCCGAGACATGTTCAGAGCATATTTGGGGAAGCAATTTATGATCCTATCTAATTGGCTTTCATTCTACACAAAATTTTATTTCCATGGCCAACCTTTTTGTATACATTTCTCTCTTGTTTGCCTCGTACATTTTCACCAAATACTTTTACCACAAACTCAAAAATCATCCACCTAGTCCAGTTCTCAATCTACCGATTCTTGGCCATCTATATCTTCTGAAGAAACCCATTTACAGATCTTTATCAAAAGTTTCTGAAAGATATGGCCCACTCCTTCTGCTCCAATTCGGTTCCCGCCATGTCCTCCTGGTGTCCTCGCCGTCCGCCGCCGAGGAGTGCCTCAACAAAAATGATATCGTTTTCGCTAATCGCCCTCGTATGATCGCCGGAAAACATCTGGGCAATAATTATACATCTTTGGCTTGGAGTTCTTATGGAGATCATTGGAGAAATCTTCGTAGAATATCATCTCTTGAAATACTATCCTCTCATAGACTCCAAATGCTTCAGAATATTCGAATTGACGAAGCTAAGGGTATGATCAAAAGGGTGTGTCGCGATTCGGAAGAAAAGCAGGTGGTGGATATGAAAACTGCGTTTTTTGAAATGACTATGAATGTGATGATGAGGATGATAGCCGGGAAAAGGTATTTTGGTGAGAATGTCGAGGAAATCGAGGAAGCAAACAGGTTTAGGGAGATCGTAATTGAGACTTTCCGGCTTGGTTCAACAAATACAGCAGATTTTTTCCCAGTGCTGCGGTGGCTGGGACTGGGTGGGGAGAAGAGATTGGTGGTGTTGCAGAAGAAGAGAGAACAGTTTATGCAGGAATTGGTGGAACAATGTAAAAGAAGATTGGGTGGCGCCACCACAAGCGATGGTGGCGTTGAATTGGAGGTGGAAGGGAAGAAGAAAACGATGATTGAAGTTCTGTTGACGCTACAGGAGAAAGAACCTGAGTATTACAATGATGGGATTATCAGAAGCCTCATGTTGGTAAGTTCCATAATTCCACTTATTTTTCTGTTAATTCGAATTACTTTGCAATTAATGAATTAAGATCATAAAAGGGCTTTAACAAATATCGGCAGTCGGGTGACAAATTTACACAACTAGCTTCATTATCTACTGCTTGAATGCCATTAGGCATTTTTTTGGAGTTAATAGTCCGACGGGTCACTGAACTTACGTTTAATATGTCGAGTTTTGATTACTATACTTTTTAAAACGTTGGACGTTACTCACTATTCTAACATCCGTTCCAAATCTTTAACGGAGTTTACATGTGGCATCCTGTCAAGCCGTTAACAAATTATCACGTCTTCCATTGCTTACTAAACTTTGAGTTTGAGGTGGTCGAATTTGGCTACTAAATTAATAAAACTAACGTTGACCTATTGTTTCGTTAAAAAATATGTACCTCAATCACACAGAGTCATGTAAAAACAATAAAGTAGACAAACAAATCATGATTGTGAATTCCACGAGAAATGATTACTTAATTACGTACAATAAATTCGAATTATTTTGCAATTAATATTGGAGCATAATACACCACATTCAAATAGGCGTCAGCTTTTTAATGGCAATTACAAAAAGTTGTGGGTGGGCGGGGGCCATCTTACTCCTCTACAGTATTCAATTTGGTAGACAACGAAATAATTGTTAAAGATGATGTTCCTTTTAGAAGGACATAATCTAAGTCCTTGTTTGTCTCTCCTTAATTCTAATACTCATTTTTAATCACACATTTATAAAATAAAATATTTTGCACGTAAATTTAAAATTTTTTTACTTTTTAATCACACAGTTTTCAAAAAAAATAAAAAAAAAAATCACTATTTAAAATTTCATTTTTTTAAAGATAATGACCATCAAACAGGAATTAAGTATAGTGATGAACAACTAGGTGTAAATGTTAAAAAGAGTTTTATGGCGTTGAACTCAATGGATTCAAATAAGTATAGTGATGACCATTTACTATAAATATACAATACTGAAAGTATTACATCAAATGTACACAATTCCTAATATGTATATGCATACAATAATTCTTTGTTATTTGTTGAGCTTGAATGTATTAATTCCTGATAAAACCATTGTACTTGTAGGTTTTGTTGACAGCAGGGACGGATACATCATCTGGAACAATGGAGTGGGCATTGTCCCTTTTATTGAACAATCCACAAGTCTTGAAGAAGGCACAAAAGGAAATCGATAGTCACGTTGGACATGAACGTTTAATAGATGAATCAGACATCGCTAATCTCCCATACTTACGCTGCATTATAAATGAAACATTGCGAATGTATCCTCCAGGCCCTCTACTAATACCTCATGAGTCCTCAGAAGATAGTGTTATTGGAGGATATCGCATACCAGGAGCCACTATGCTGTTAGTGAACGTGTGGGGTATACACAACGATCCCAAGATTTGGGAGGATTCCAGAAAATTCAAGCCTGAAAGATTCGAAGGTCTTGAAGCAACAAGAGATGGATTCAAATTAATGCCATTTGGTTCTGGGAGGAGAGGGTGTCCTGGGGAAGGCTTGGCCGTGCGTATGGTCGGGCTAGGTTTGGGATCAGTTATCCAATGCTTTGATTGGGAAAGAGTTGGTAAGGAACTGGTTGACATGGCCGAAGGCACGGGACTAACCATGCCTAAAGCTCAACCTTTAATGGCCAAGTGCACCCGTCGCCCCTTAGTAGCTAAGCTTTTCTCTTCTTGAAATGGACTGTCGTTTCTCTTAAAACAAATATTATAGTCTCAGGTATAACAATGAAAGGGAATATCGTTTCCCCATATGTTATAACGTATTGTTCTGGATTTGTTTCAATTATGTGATATTATAAGGAAAGTTTTAAACAACGAGACTATTTTTTGAGAAAAATAGTTTAATAAAATCTGTCATCATATCCAAATGTTTAATCAAGATCTCGTGGCAAAGCAAATCTGAAACCTGCTTAGTAACGATGCCTCTCTTGCTGCACAAATACTAAAAAGCACATATTTTAGGATTTTTTATGAGCCATGGCTACCTCGAATTCCATCGTTTCGTCCTATTGCCACTCTTCTTGGTGACTTATCGTGTTGAACAAATAGTGCAGTTGGGATGAACTATTGATCGTTCAACACTTTCTGCCTACTGACTGCGAATCCACTGTGTCCATCCTATTGAAAGGGAAAGTAATTGAGAAATGAAGACTGCATTCTCATTAAGTAAGAAAATAAAATAAAATAAATTTCTCATTACAATGATAGCTCTTTAAATAGAACAAAATCTAACTAATTACAACAACTAGCTAATCAACTAACTTGACAACTGTACATAACTACTTCCTAACTAACTTTGGCTCCAAATGAACTTGAATTGAGCTGGACACTTGCTGAACTGTTGACACCATGCTCAATCCTCTGTTGTTGCTGAAACTTNGGAAGATGGACCATGGAGATTTATAATGGCCATCTTGGAAAGTAAAGGAAAGAACAAAGAAGCTGGTAAACCCTTGGTGAAGATATCTGCTATCTGGTGTTGAGATCGAATGGGCAACAATTTGATGAAACCATCAACCACCTTATCATGAACAAAATGAAAATATATTTCTATGTGTTTTGTTCATTCATGAAAAATGGGATTACTAGCAATATGAAGTGCAACCTGATTATCACAGAAAACCACGACCAGAGATATTGGAGAAGTACCCAAATCCAAGAGCAGCTGATGTATCCAAATTAATTCACTAGTAACAGCTGCTAATGCACGATATTCTACTTCTGCAGAGGACCTGGAAATGGTCTGTTGCTTTTTAGCCTTCTATGAAATCAGTGAATCACCAAGAAACACACATAAGCCAGTGATAGATTTTCTTGAGTCAGAATAAGAGCCTCAATTCACATAAGCAAAGGCGCTTAGTTGCAAAGAAGAGGAGGCTGAAAAGAACAAACCTTGACTAGGAGCTAACTTAAGAAACCGAAGAAGATGATGAGTTGCATCAAGATGTGGTTGACAAGGTTTAGAAACAAACTGGCTAAGTTTGTAAACTGCAAATGTGATGTCTGGACAAGAAATAGTTAAGTAGAGCAAACGGCCGATCAGTATTCAATAAGACGAAGCACCAACATTAGTCAACAAATCATTATCAAATGAATTTAGTTGAACCTTTAGATCCATAGGTAAAACAGGAGGTTTGCAAGCTAAAAAACCACTATCCTCCAGGAGTTGCAGTGTATAATTTCTTCGAGACAAACATATCCCTTTGTGTGACCTTGCTATGTCCAAGCCAAGAAAGTACTTCAATTTACCCAAGTCTTTTAGTTTGAACTGACTATACAAAAATGATTTCAAAAAAACATTGACACTTTGATCAGAACTAGTAATTATAATATCATCAACGTACACCAGTAGAGCAACAAATGAAGGACCTGATCCCTTTGTAAATAGAGAATATTCAGATTTAGATTGATGGAAGCCATGATCAATAAAAGCTTGAGAGAACTTGGAAAACCACTGTCTAGATGCCTAGCGAAGACCATAGATGGATTTATAGAGTTTACAAACTGGTTTTCCCTCCTTAATAATATCAGCAGGTATATTGGAATACCCCAAAGGTAAGTCCATATAAATCTCTTCAAAAAGGTCCCCGTTCAAAAAAAAAAAACATTGTTCACATCTAACTGAACCAAGTGCCATCTATTAATGGCTGCTATAGCAAGCATTGTCTTTACTGTAACCAACTTAGCAACAGGAGAAAATGTATCAAGAAAATCCAGTCCCTCTTGTTGAGTGTAACCCTTAGCAACTAGGCGTGCCTTAGACCTTTCCACACCTCCATCAGGTCCATACTTGACCTTTTAGACCCACATACAACCAATTGAGTGCTTACCCTTTGGCAAATTGGTTACAGTCCAAGTATTATTTGATTCCATAGCTGCAAACTCAGTAGCCATTGCTTCTTTCCAGTGATCAGATGCAGTAGCTTGGTGATAAAATTGTGGTTCGACAATGGAAGAGACATTAAAAAGAAATGATTTGTGCCACTGAGAAAAAGAGGTATAGGAAATATATTTATTTAAAGGATATAATGAATTGTTGTCAGGAGGTTGTTGATTTGTTTGTAGATTACAATGAAATTCATGAAGATAGGATGGAGGTTTAATCACCCTAGTAGACCTTCTGGGCATAGGGAATGAAGGTAAATCATCAACAGGTTGTTGATTGTGCTGAGCAGAATCAGAAGAATAGTTATAAGGAAATTTAAGTGAAATGTTATTATCAATAGAAGTAGATGGAGATGAGACTAGGTGATGTTCAGTCAAAGCATTATTGTTGGTTGAAGTAGATGAGTATGAAGCTGGATGGGAAACAAATAGATCAGAATTGATGCTTGGTAATACAACATCAGGAAAGTGATCTATTGAATCTGATGGAGAAGCTATAGAGAGTAAAGGGAAGTGAGTTTGATGAAAAACCACATCCCTGAAAATAAGAAACGACTAAGATGAGATATCACAAAGTTTGTATCCTTTGACTTCTGGTGGATAACCAATAAACCACATGCTTTAGCTCTAGGAGAAAATTTGTTTCTGTGATATGGAAGTGTGGATGCAAAGCAAAGGCTACCAAATACCCTAAGATAATTGTAATCAAAAGATGTGTCATACAACAGGGAAAAAGGAGTCATGTTTTTTAGAATTGGAGAAGGTGTTCGATTGATCAGAAACGTTGCAGTAAAAACATAGTCACCCCAGAATTTAATAGGTACTCGTGACTGAAAATAAAGTGCTCGTGCTACATTAACAAATGTTGATGTTTTCGTTCAACTATAGAATTTTGTTCAAGTCGTTCAATGCAAGAAAACTGATGAATAATGCACTTAGCCTCAAAGAGTTCGGTGAATTTTAACTCTTGAGCATTATTAGACCTAAAGGTCTTAATGACTTCGTGAAATTGATTTTTAACAAGAGCAAGGAATTTTGGTATGATAAGCTTTGCATCTGACTTATGTTTCATCAAATAGATCCAATTGAAACGTGTACAATCATCTACCAAGGTAAGAAAGGATTTATGACCACCATATGTGGGGGTATGATATGGTCCCCATATATCGCAATGTATCAAATCAAAAGCATTATCTGATAGATGATTATTTGATACAAATAATAATTTCCTTTGTTTTTCCAAATGACAAATAGAACAAGGGAGTAGAGTATTTTGCCTCAGTAGAGTACACTTAAAATGTAATAAATTCTTCAATAAGTCTAACTTGTGATATAAATGCCCAAGTCGGTCATGCTAAATTTGACTAGTTACATTATTTGTCACTGAAAAATGATAAACATTATTATGAACTGGGAAACTGGAATAGACCTTTAATCCTTGCCAATCATCCTCAATGTGCTCAAGTCCTGATCCATGTAAGAATCAGTGAGGAACTTAACACATAATGAAGAATTCCTTGTTAAGGCACTGATAGGAATATAAAATACACATTTTGCATATTTATTTAATGCGCTCATATGACTATTTTATGTCTAAATGTACTTAGTATTCTTATATTTTGGTTTAGGTGGTAATTCGATGGATATGGCGTAAGTTGGAAGAAATGAGGGGAAAAAGACCAAAATGAAAGAAAGNGACCAAAATGAAAGAAAGCGAAAGTTCGGGAACCAAAGTGCAAATATTCAAAAGTTATATCGAACCTCACGATGAATACTTGAGAGTGCTAGTGGCCAATTGGATGAAGAAAGAAGTCAAAGGGGTGAAATATAGCCAAGACATTATCACATATCAACTTTCAAGTTGAAAAGTTTTGCACCGATTTTCAGCCTCATATTGAGACCAGTTTTTGACATGTCAAACGATCAAATTCGAAGATGTCTTCTGAATAAAAGTTGTAGCCCTTTGAGTTAGCTTTCCAATGCATCTGAATGACCTCAATCGGATATCAGGAGAGAAAGTGACGGCCAAAATACTGAAGGCTATCCGGAGGAAGTTTTGTAAAGTCTTGCGATCGCATAGCTTTAATTTCGCGAGATCGCACAGATCATCACCGAAAGTCTGAGGGTTGAATTCATTTGTT